GGGGCACACCTGGGCACACCTGGGTCACACTCAGACACACCTGGGTCACACCTAGGGACATCTGGGGGTGTCTGTGCTCCACTTGGACACACCTGGGTCCTACCTGGGTCACACTTAGATGCACCTGGGTCACACCTGGGTCACACTTAGACACACCTGGGCACACCTGGGTCACACCTGGGCACACCTGGGTCACACCTGGGCACACCTGGGGCACACCTGGGCACACCTGTGTCACCTGTGTCACCTGCAGGGCAAGCACTGCATCCTGGACGTGTCGGCCAACGCCGTGCGGCGGCTCCAGGCGGCGCAGCTGCACCCGATCGCCATCTTCATCCGGCCCAAATCGCTGCAGAACGTGCTGTGAGTCACCTGGGCACACCTGGGCACACCTGGGCACAGCTGGGCAGGGATTTTGGGGGGATTCGGGGCAGTTTTGGGGCTCACCTGTGCCCGATCGCCATCTTCATCTGGCCCAAATCGCTGCAGAACGTGCTGTGAGTCACCTGGGCACACCTGGCACACCTGGGCAGGGATTTTGGGGGGATTTTGGGAGGTTTTGGGGCTCAGCTGCACTTGATCGCCATCTTCATCCGGCCAGAATGTGCTGTGGGTCACCTGGGCACACCTGGTTACACCTGGGCACACCTGGCACACACCTGGGCACACCTGGTTACACCTGGTTACACCTGGCACACCTGGCACACCTGGCACACACCTGGCACACCTGGCACACACCTGGGCACACCTGGCACACACCTGGGCACACACCTGGCGCACCTGGGCACACCTGGTGCACACCTGGTGCACACACCTGGCGCACCTGGGCACACCTGGTGCACACCTGGGCACACCTGGCACACCTGGGCAGCCATTCTGGGTGGAATTTGAGGGGGTTTAGGGGCGTGGTTTGGGCACAGGGAGGGGGAAACTGAGGCAGGAGGGGGCGTGGCCATCTATGACAAGAATGAGGGCAATTTGCATAATGGGTGGGGTTTCAAACCCAGTGGGTGGAGCTCCATGATTGACATGTGATGGGTGGGTGTGGCTTTGTGGGTGGGCGTGGCATCTAATGAACGAAGCTGTGCTGTGGGCGGGGCTTGTGAGGGGTTGTGGGCGTGTCCAGGCAATTCCAGGTGTGCTGGGCGTGGCCAAGGGGCGTGGCCAGGAATTTATGGGAAAATCCTGGGATTTTGGGTGTGTCCAGGTGATGGTGGGCGTGTCCAGGTGAACTGGGCATCTCCTGGGAACTGTGGGTGTGGCCAGATGATGTGGGCGTGGTCATATGTGGTGGGCGTGGCCAGGTGACGTGGGTGTGTTTTATGGGCTTGTGGGTGTGGTCAGGTGCGGTGGGCGTGCCTGTGGGGGGTTGTGGGCGTGGCCAGGCGAGGAGGGCGTGCCTGTGGGGGTTGTGGGCGTGTCCCAAGCCGGCCCCGCCCACCCCAGGGAGATCTCCAAGCGCGTGAGCGAGGAGCAGGCGCGGAAAGCGTTCGACAGAGCCACCAAACTGGAGCAGGAGTTCACCGAGTGCTTCTCAGGTGAGACACACCTGGGCACAGCTGGGACACACCTGGAGACACCTGGGCACAGCTGGGCACAGCTGAGATACACCTGGGCACACCTGGGCACACCTGAGATACACCTGAGACACACCTGGGCACAGCTGGGGACAGCTGGGACACACCTGGGATACACCTGGGCACACACCTGGGCACACACCTGGGGACACCTGGGCACAGCTGGGGACAGTTGGGGACACCTGAGACACACCTGGGCACAGCTGGGGACAGCTGGGACACACCTGGGATACACCTGGGCACACACCTGGGCACACCTGGGCACACCTGAGGGACAGCTAGGCACACCTGGGCACACCTGAGGGACAGCTAGGCACACCTGGGCACACCTGAGGGACAGCTAGGCACACCTGGGCACACCTGAGGGACAGCTAGGCACACCTGGGCACACCTGAGGGACAGCTAGGCACACCTGGGCACACCTGAGGGACAGCTAGGCACACCTGGGCACACCTGGGAGCACCCAGAACACACCATGAGCACACCTGGGACACATCTGGAACACACCTGGGACACATCTGGGGGCACCAGGGGACAGCTGGATACACCTAGGATACACCTGGGCACAGCTGGAGGCACCAAAACCACACCTGGGCACACCTGGGCACACCTGAGAACACCCAAAATCCACCTGGGAACCCTCAAAGACCCCCAAAATTCTCCAAATCCTCCCAAAACCGCCCCAAAAGTCCCTGGTTTTTTACCCGACAAAGATCTCTATCCACCCCAAAATTCCCCTAAAATCCCCAAAATCCCCCTAAAATCCCATTTTTTCCCACTTCTAAAGGTCTTTACCCACTCCAAACCCGCCCAAATCCCCGAAATTCCCCTAAAATCCCATTTTTTCCCACTTCTAAAGGTCTTTACCCACCCCAAACCCCCCCAAAATTCCCAAAATTCCCCTAAAATCCCATTTTTTTCACCTCTGATGTTCTTTACCCACCCCAAACCCCCCCAAAATCCCCTAAAATCTCTTTTTTTTTCACCTGTAAATGTCTCAACCCACC